CAGAGCAAAGAGGATTCGCCACGACACGTTGTCCTCACTGCAGGCCGAGTCTATGGACAAAAGTGCCACCACGAAATGAGAGGTTCCCCTATAAGCCCAATTCTGCAAGCTTTGACATTGACTCCAACGCGTCCTGAATGACAAGACACCCAGGACCCAATCGCCCAAGACCCAGAGTCGATAAGTACCAAACTCCATGCCCGCACAATGAAGCTCAGTGCTGACCTTGAGGGACAGCCAGCAGCGCAGTTTGAATCGCTCGGGTCAATGGCGAGCCTGCTGGATTGTGTGAGACATAAGACATAAAGCAACCACCATCGCTACAACCGCTGCAACAGCTACCCACCCCCCTTACTTCCGACACCACATCACGACCGCAACCACGACCTCGACCACAACCTCCAAAACAATGCAACTACGACCGCAACACCGACGACGATGACGACTGCTGCTACAGCTGCTGCTCCTGCTACTGCCACTTCTCGTCCTGTGCAGGCAGTCGTAGTAGTAGAAGGAGCAGCGATAAGCTCAGGAACCGTGTACAAAATCTAGCTATTTGAAGGCAACAAGGGAGCATGGATATAATGCAGTCACAGTCCTCAATCAGGACGAGTAGCTGACGATCATCTCGGGAGGCTTCTCAAAGCGAGATCTAAGGAGCTTGGCTTGTTCCTTAGCGCGGGACGCAGTGCTACCCAAGTCATCTTCGGTTATTTTTCTCAGGAGCCATTCGGGCAGGGATGGGTAAAAAGCGCTTGGAGGCTAAACGTGCAAATGCTTTGGGGATCTAAACAGCTTTTTGTCCAGACATCGAGACTCGGAATGCTTGAACGCAAACATGCAATGATTAACTGTCGAAACATGCGTTCGCTTAGGCATGCTTGAACAGCGTTTCAACAAGGTCCGACATTGAAGCACTTTCAGCTGCAGCCAGCTGACGGAATGCCCTGTTTCGGAAGCACACTGCTACGGCATTGTTCTCGTTCGTCCATCGTCACCAATTTAACAGTTTCAGCTGCAGGCTTGTTTGCTTTAAATATTTCGGCGTTTAGACAGTACATGTTTAAACGTTTAAGGACAACTCCCTGCCCAACCCTGCTGTGTGGAGCCTAGGCTGAAAAAAACCAACGCCCAACGTTGAACGGGGGTGCAATTGGGGGCGCCGGCGTTCCGGCTTCTCAGGGTCGGTGGTTCTTGGTGACTGTTGTAATCTGCTTGTCTGTATCTAGAGACCCCGTGCCAGCCGCTTGTCCGCTTGTTTTACCGCGAGCGCAAGCCAAGCATTCATGCTCAACATGTGCACCATGTAGCAAGAAACGACGATCTCTTCAGCAACGAAACTGCCCGTCCCGACAGACGATGACGGTGATGATGCTTGCTGCATGATGAAAACAATGAGTGTGACAGTGATGTCGTCTTGATGCTGATAGCAACACGTGGCAACACTCAAGATGATGCTGTTGCTGATAATGGCCACGGATATGATGAGGAAGATGTTGGTACTTATGTGAGTGATTATGTAGCTGGCGGTGCAGTTGGTGATGATGATGACGGTGGTGGTGGTGGTGGTGGTGGTGGTGGTGGTGGTGGTGGTGGTGGTGGTGGTGGTGGTGGTGGTGGTGGTGGTGGTGGTGGTGGTGGTGGTACTTATATTGGCGATGGTGATGCTTTTGATGACGATGTGGTCATGGGCTGGTATTGTCGAAACTGCAGCTGCCATGGACTGACAAGGCATGATTAGTGGCACTGCTAACGAGACGACTATGACATGCACACATGCAATGTTCCCTTCCTCATCGTTGCCTTAGGATTCCTACTGCTAGCTTGCCAAAGCACCTCGCCCTTCCGCGTGAGAGCAGCATCCCAGAAGTTGCCTCCACGAGGAGAATTGGGATTGCGGGTCCGTTAGCGCTCCCTATTGTCATGATCCTCTTCTGCGTCTCGGGCACTACACGGAATGTGCAATGCTGTACAGTGATTTGTTTTGAAGCCGCAACGGAAGTCAAAATGGAATGAGTCCTCGGGTCGAGGCTTAACGAGGCATGCCAAGCCGGGCATTGGGAGGCCTGAGGCAATAGTAGCCACCTAACCAACAGAGGGAACCCGAGTCTGGAACAAGCTGCTGCTTGTCGGTCGCTTGAAAGGCTCGCGCTCTACGGTACCGACATAAATTCGAGACAGAGGCAGGCACTGTTCTGAACTCGATTTCAAAGGATCCAACAGGTGTGAGATGCAGCCTCCCGCCTGGATCACGATGGTGCTCAGCATAGAATACGTTGTACTGACTCTCCTCGGGTAGAAGATGGGTCTTTCAACATCGTGCCGCCAAAACCCCTGAACACACTGTAGGAAGACAGGGAAGAATAGTAGGGAACCCGCTCATCGCAAGCTGTGAGAGGCGGGTTCAGGCCATAAAGCGAGAGAAAGACTAGCCCTAAGAGTGACCATGCCACTTTGACGATCAACGGAAGATAAGCATCACGACAAAGGGGCTGGTCTACCCTTTGCCAAACAGCTCTCGGCTCTCGCAACATAGCTTAGAGCTCCTCCCAAGGCAAACTGCATGAATGCAAGGGATTCTTCATTATCCGGATGAGCCTGGATCCGAACAAACACCGACATTGTGGTTGGCAACAGATTGTGCAGCATCGCCTGAGACATCTTATGCAAGTGGCTCAGTGTTAAGAGCACCGGTGGGTGGATAAAAGTCTAGCGGGATTGGCTTGCATCAATGGTTCCCTAGATCAACGGCCTATATAGAACCACACTCGTTCAAGCCACACCGTTCACCTGCGCCTAGCAAGTTTCCAACCGGCTGCAAGGCGCTACAGACACGGATATTCTGTGCAAAGCTCTTGGGAAGGAAATACCAGATCGAAATCCCGTCCCTCTATCACCTCCGCCACCCCGTTCGTTCAAACTGTTGGACTGTTCGAAACCTTCTGAACTGCGACTTCGAGGCACCAACACCGTGAGAACCAGTCTTTCGTGTGGAAACTTGAGCGCGTTAGAACTTGCATTCTGAGCAGCTCCGTGGCGCACGAGCCTGGCTCTAGGCCACGGAAAGAAGACAGAAGAACCCTTGCGAAGAGGATGCCAGACATCACCGACAGGCAAACTCCAACAGCAAGATGTCGAAGCATCGCTGAAAACGGTTCGAGACCCAAAACCAAGTTCAGCTTGGGAAGGGGCCACGAAATCTACTGTGACTAATTGGGGCTCAGGGCGGCTTCCTTTTTCGGTGCACCCACCCCGGACAAGGAGTAGTTGTACGCGGAGGCAGTCAAAGGTTCCTTAGGCCTCCGAGTGCTTTGTAGTATGGTTAGTAAGGGTGGCAGTGCCAGCAGCAGCAGCAATACTGTGACGACGGGGATATGGGGGGTGCCTTATAGAAAGGAGGGTCTGGATCCCACACCCCTTGTTCCTGCCGGAATTCAGACGCTTCTGCCTGAAAGATCGGGCCGCGGGACCGCCCCGCTGCTACATGCCTGTAACTGCCGATTTATCACACCTATAGGCACTAGAATTTGTTACCGATGACTCCTGCAAGCTCTTCACTTTCGTGAATGATAAGAAACCGAACCTAGATGCTTAGAGCCTCAACTCGGGCAACCGCATCAGCGCCTCAAACCGCCAAAACCCTCCTAAGCCCCCTTCAGCAATCCCTAACAAGCTAAAGCCTCTGCTTGAACATCAGATTGGAAGATCCGTCTAAGAATTGAACTTTGAGGCCAAGCTGAACCCAAAGAGAACTCTGGGGCTTGGACCCTCTTCGGGCCTGAGCCGCTTGCTCGGCGCCGGGCGGCTGCGAGGCGCCAACAGGAAGCAGCAGCAGTCCATCGCAATCTCTGATTTCGAGAAATACTGATATTTCCGAACCCATCATTACCTTGACCGCCATGATCGCTGCGACTACCACGAATGAGGCTAGCTATACGCAACATCTTGTGTATCATGTGCTGCTGCATGCGCTGGTGGCTTGGAAAGCGCTCAGCTGCGTCTTTCCCACCTTCTCATATGCACGATACGTGTGTACCTGAGAATAACCCGATACACGCGATAGATGAATGCATACATGTGTATACAGCAAAAGCAAACATGTGCGTGTATGTGTATATATGTGTGCACGCACATATGTGTAAATATGTGTTTATGCATTTATGTACACACACATACATGTACGTGCAGTGCACATGCACTTGCAGGTGTACATGTACATGTCAATGTACATGCATATGCACAATGTATGGGTATGTCTATACGTACGCTTGTCTATATCTATATGTGAGAGCATACAGATATGGGCATGTATGTGTATGTATGTATGTGTATAGATGTAACTATATCGCTACATGTACACATATAAAAATGTACATGTACATGTATGCATGTGTTTATGTAAGTCTGAAATTTATGTATAGACGTAGATGTATATGGAGATGTAGATGTAGATGTGCATGTATGCATGTACGTGCCGAGATGTTCGAGGACATACCCGGCGCTGCTGTATGTGCCGCTGTACATGGCTGCCTGGGCTTGTAGATTCAAGTGCGGAAGTAGAGAATTTGCGAGAAGCCTCATCTGGGTCCTAATTTCGGTCAAGATTGGGAGACACGAGTTTCGATGCAGAGTGTGGGACAAACGGCTGCCGTGCCCTCGTGGTTCAATCATCTTCAATGCTACGCCACTTGAAAGCATGCCGCGGCACGAGAAGCGACAAGCCCAACTTCGGCTGCAGGGTGCAACTTCAATTGCATTGAATTGCCAGGCGCCGCTAGAGTGTACTTGCACCGAGTGCTAGGCCCCTAAACCCGAAACCGCGATCCCTTGCAGAGCCCTCGGCCACCCCACTCCAAAATAACAACCGCACACACGCACGCGCACGCACGCACGCACGCACGCGCGCACGCACGCACGCACGCACGCACGCACGCACGCACGCACGCACGCACACACACACACACACACACACACACACACGAAGACATCTCGTGTCGCACGGGCTCGAGGAAGCAGTGATCGAGGATCACCTTCTTCATACTGGGTATCTTCGGCCTCCTGAAAGGAAGCAGCATGTTTAGAATATATAGGGTTGATGATGGCGTCGTGGCAGGAGCGGCGACAAAACGCTGCAGGGCAAATGGTAGGCAGGGTTTTGGTTAGACTAATCAACAGCAGCAACAACAGCAACAACAACAACAACAACAACCGATACTGCTACTACTACTGTTGCTACTGCCACCAAAGCTACTACTGGCAACACTTCGTGGAGTCAAGCCTGTTGCCCGGAACTGCGCCAGACGCCCCATAAGTCAATGCTCCGGAGAGTCTATACCGGTTTGAGTAGGATTTGGAAGAAGCCACACCGGGCCAGCATCCAAGCCCCGCACTTGCGACCCACGCCCTTCATCAGAAGCCACTCAATCATCTACAATCTGACAACACCTGGTTCAATCCTTGACATCCACATCTTCCGCAGCCACGGCCATTGCTTTGAGCTGTAGATGCCATGCCAGCAGGCTTGTCGTTGATTTACACACACAGTTTTCGTAAAGCACATGAGGGTTGCTCTTCAAATTCTAGGTGAGGGGGTGGTTGGTACCAGATGCCAGCTGTTGCGCGTGTGGAGTCGTTCGTTGATGTACAGAATACTGGCTTGGCAGTTGCAAGTCGTGCTCGAGGCATCCTGCGTCTGTCCGACTGCATGATGATCTGCGGATGTACTTACCAATGTCAAACCTTTTTCGTTCTTGTCAAGGAATCCAGTTGCTTTGGCACTCACACTCGCTATCGACCTGGTTGCGAGTCTGAGCAACTTTTTTCCACGAGTATCTACTTCGCGACGATTTTACTCATACTTTCTACTACCCCAGAAACAATGAACTACACTTGAGCCAGCAGATACAGTAGCCCACAGCTCATGTCGGGGGCTGACCTTATTCACACCTACTCTCAAGCTATGCAGCCTGACACACAGGTTTTCTGACTGCGTAGCTGACATCTGCAGACTCCGAATATCCGAAGCGATGAATGTAGTGGTATCCATGATTTTGGAATAGACCACTGGTGGGTCCAGACTGCCACACCGCAACTGTACGGATTTGGAATTGTGTTCGCACCTACCGTGGGCAGCTACAACTGCCTAAACAAAAATTGAGACACAAACAAAGGTGCACAACATGGATGCTAGTGACATGCCATGCACAAGATGGCAGAACGCTTCTCAAGTAAACTGAAGACATCTCACAACCAGAAGTACTTGCAACAACGAAGCAACCAGAACTGCGTAGCTAGTTGCAGCAACATACAACATATCGACAACTTGTCATCAGAGCAAAAGAGACACTCGTAGGCTCGTAGTTAAAATGAACGACATTGTCCAGCAAGTGTGTTACTGATGGCCTTGATTCTGGTGACTAGCCCTAATGGTGATGGTGTTCGTGAAGAGCAGCCACGCCCCTCAGACCGCCCGAGCGCAGCAATTCCACTAACTATCCAGTATCATAGTCCTTCGAAAGATATTAGCTGACGACAAAGATGGCCGTGGCGAAAAGCATCACCGTCGATCGTCATTAGCAAGACCATCATCGATAAGACCAAATTCCTAATCATCTCCATCATCCACTTCTGCTTCTGCTGTATCTCAGTCGCAGGAACGCGAAAAAGGCGCAGTTAAACCAACACTGACGAGGGGACTGTTGTTGAATATACCCACAGCATTCCTAGCATGCATATTGCGGCATACTAAGGCGAGACTCCAGGAAGATCACATCATGGCTACTACCACACCAACCAACACCTCGTCAGCATTGCAATGAATGACAATCCTTATTACTAGCACAGCCGTGACCATAATGCCGGCAGAAGATGTCCGCACCATCGTCATCGTCGACAGGACCAATATCGTCATCATCATCATTATTATCGAAGTCGAAGTCATCATCACCACTTCATCATGTTGCGAATCTCTGATTGCTTGCTTGCAGGCTTCATTTTCCAAGAGTCCTAAGTTCAATCCAAGCGAACTTGGCGAAAACCGCGAGCGCTTGCCGCATAATGGAAATCAGCCTCCAAAGCCAAAGGTACAACAACTGATGTTGAACTTCTTTTCTGTCGGCCTACTAGTTAATAAATTACTGTTCTCGTCTCGCTCCCCACCAGGTCACCACCCCCCCCAAACCCTGAAGCCGGTGCTGCGAAACCGCCTCGCGCTGCTTGGTATCCTCGGCCACCTCGTGGGTTTGCGCCTGGAGTGCCTTGGCGGCAGAGCCGACGAGCCGAGCCTTCTGGGGGGAGCGACGGTCGACCCGCCGCGGGGGCGGGGTCCCGCGCGCGCCTCCACTTCCGGCATCCGCTCAGCTCTTGTGAGCTCCAGCTGCTTGAGCTCTGCCTGCGGGAGCCGAGTCGTCTCCGCTACACGATACAAACCTTCTCCATGCCCTTGTGCTTGGGAAGCTCGCAAGGACGAACGAGACAGTCTTTGCCCTTGAGGCATGTTCTCCACAAACTGTTTGCGCCTAAGGGTTTCGGATCTCTGCATCTAGGCTGAGGTCGCAGAGACGATCTTTCAAGGCAACGGATAGGTTTGGCAGACTCAGAGAGACTCTGGACATGTTCTACGAAAATTCATCTTCGTCAAGGAGCCAGCAGCTAGCAGGCAGTCTCTGGAAACTTCGAAGGTGTTGGCGGGGGGCCTGTTAGGGTTCATCGGCATCTTGGCCACGCGCAGCAACCCATTCCAATTTAGCCCATTTCCCCAACATTTTCGATATTGGAGTCGGCCGAAACGTAATACTTCCTGCCCTTCTCAGTGTTTCATGTTCGAAGCGGGAAATTTCTGAGTGCCCCAAACAAAACCCCATTGACCCAGACCGAGCAATCTGCCCAAAGACGTGAGGGCCTGAAGCATTAGAGGAGGGCATAACTTCACACCAAAACAGTGGCCTTGAGCGCCGGCATCTTCAAGGAGTGGGAGACCTCAAGCGAGGCTCACAGTCCTCTCACACCTAGACCAAGACTCTTTCAAAAACGGTTCCAAGAATCCCCAAAACAATCATTCTAGGTGGACCTCAAGATGAGGACTGCTCTCACACGCTCATCACTTGGGCGTGCCCCGTTGAATTGCCACCGTCCTGAAGACGTACACTTGGCTCATCTTCACGAGCCGCAAATTTCGGCGAGGCTTTGTGGAAATCTGCCCCCAACTTCTACTTAGGAATTGGTGTTGCGAGCATAGTTTTTTGAAAATGAGAAGCCGCCCTGTCACCCTGCAAACACTCAAGCCTTCAGTCTCCACAAGTGATGATGCTACAAAGAAATCACGCACAGGTCCCCGGCACATTGAAATGCAGGGAATGCTACATTGGCCACCGCGGCTAAAGCCTGCCAAGATTTTGGCGGTCCAGGCGGTTTGGCACATATGGCACAAAAAAGAACAGAAATCTAAGTCTAAGTTTGAGACTCGAAGGGATATGAATGAACAGAAGATGCTTGCGCTTTTGGTTCAGGGAGACTTGGACACGTGGGAAAGTCTACTCATACAAAGTTCGCGTATATTCCATCTCTGAGCGAAGGAAACTGTGGGTCTGCGACTTTCATAGCCAGACTTTGCACGACCGACGAAGGATCTTCAGATTCCAGATCGATTGCTCTGTCCGTCTTCTATGCACGGACATTGCCCCCGAATTATCCCGGGCTCGGCACCTTCACGTCCATGTAGTCTCGAGTGTCTGCGTTGGCCGCGGCTTCAGCCAACACTGGAAGAAGGTCCTGCGTGACAGCGAAAGGCTCCGGTCTAACAGCCGAAGTCTCAAACCATGGCTCAGCGAACTCACAGCGAGAATACTGCAACCGCTAAACTTGCCTGTAGACTAGGCTCCAAGCTGGCTGGCGGTTTTGTCCTTACAGACGAATGCTGTTCTGCTCTGGGTAAGAGCCCCGAACCAGTATCCGAAGTCGAGCCGAGGTTCGGAAAGAAAGAATACCCAAAGTTGCTCCCCAACCTAGATACAAAGTATTAGACAAGAGGAATCCTGCAAGTGAGCCTGTTCAACAGCTTGGAGCGTCTTGCAAGACGATACAGTACCCTCTGACGAGATGCAGTCCTTCGGAAAGGATTCCACATCCACAGCGGCCAGCTTCGTCGCAAACAACGGATCTCCGATGGTGCTGCGGATGTCCTCACCTGCAAACTTACGTCTTCGTGAGGAGCTGTAGCGGCTTGGCTTTAGGCGACCGTGGAAACAAGCTCATAGCGCTGCATCAGTTTTGCTCCTTGAGCAAGGCTCCTGGCAATCCCCACACCTGACCCGAAAAGCAACCGCAACATGCCAGCCCCGGACCAGGCTTCTGTTTGTTGGAAGCGTGAGCATATGATTGCAAAGGCTCAGAATGTGAAATACCCGCCGGGGGTACAGGTCCAAAGTGACATACCAGGCTGACAGTACTAGATTCCTTACGGTGACTTCAACTTCGCTCAGGGATCCGAGCCATCTGAAGGAAGGCTGTTTGCCATGTCTTCCCTCGAAGCCCCCAAAACAAACTTGGCCCCTGTGCCTGTGCCGGGCCGATTATCATTATTCACTCAAGCTTTTCTACCCTGCTTCACAGAACCTGGTCCGTGCAAGCACCAACATTGCGGAAAGCTAACATCAAGAAGCAGGCGACGCGACCCTTCCTCTTTCGTCAGAAGTGATCTGCTTCTTACTGCTGGGCTCCGGGCGGGTGGGGGCAGCCGAGGCTCGCAGGAGCAAGCAGCACATCTCAAAGAGTGCGATCAAAGGCGTACGCCTCGCTTCTCTCAAGTCTTCTACAAGTATCAGCTTCATGCTTGCACATACTCTGCTATCACTGCTGACATGACGGCATTTACACCTTTGCACCGAGACCTGTGAGTGCAGACTCGAACTACAGGATTTGGGTTTCAAGGAGTTGGGTGTCAGGTTCCCTCCTTCCCTGCTCACTGATCCGTAGCCCAGTCTGAGCTTCCCAACGATGTCCCAGTTAAAAAGCTCAATCTGGCAGCCAAACAAGCCTCGACTGTCAACAAAACAACATTCAAAGCCACCATACCTTCGATTGCCCAGATTTCTGAAGAAGCTCTATGCTGAGCTCTTTGTGCCAAGTCTGCAACACCTCCTGTGGAAAACGATGACTGGCGTCCGAGGCCCCGTCTCCTTCTCCTCGCCTGTTGGACAGCTCTGGTTCAGCGCCTTCTTCAACTCCGCGTAGTCCTGGCCATTCGCATGGACATACATACGTGAGTACATATTATGCATACATGTCGACCAACCGACCTACCTACCTACAACCCACCAAGCAGATCTGCATGTATGCATGTATGTACGAAGGATGTATGTATGTGTGTATGTATATCTACAGATATGTTATGCGCATGTATGTCTACGTGTGGCAGCATATATGTACATATGTATATATATATATACACATATATATATATATATATATATATATCTGGGCACGTGATTATCCTTTATGCAACACGAGGAAATATGACAGAATGCATACTAACATGGTATTGCACACGACACCACAACCCGTTTAGAACAGCATAGAACAGCAAATTGCATTGTTTTGAGGTTTAGAGCTGTTGTAAACTAACATGGTACACCGAAGCAGGAGTTCAACCAATACAGTGTATGTTACCCGAGACTTAACCCTATGATATAGCCTAGTGTGCCCCAGCACAGTATGCCATGACATGACGTGGTATAATGTAGCTCCTCATGTGTAAACTCATGTGAACGACAGCAGTGTAACAACTTACAACCTACAGTATGAGATGAGTTTGAAAAATCACAACGACTCACAACATGGCCTGCAAGATACTGCAACAAAACCCAAGAAGGACATGATATAGGATAAGATGAGATTTTATCTAACGGCTCTTCTGTTGGCGTGTACATCTTTTTTTATTGTGCTGTATCATCCAATATGAAATTATGATGTAGTGAATTCAGGTGAATGAAATACAGCATAACAGATGATAGGACTCAGTATGTCACATGTTTTAGAATGCGAAGCATACAACCTTGAAAAGTTCATGTGCAACTCAAAGTATCTAACGTAGCACAAGACATGAATGACACCCTTGTTGTAATAGTCCCGAACAGTCTGCACCATAACAGATGCCCTATGGCATGTTGGAATATCATATGATAGTGGGCCCATTTGAGATATGTATCAGAAAATAGTAGATCACAGTATAATATAGTAGAGAAGAGTGAGAGCATCGTTTAGTATAGTTTGTTGTGGTACATAGTGTTGTGTACAGAACAGTATACACTGCAATGCAAAGTATAGTATGTAGCAATTATAGATTCGTAGCCTCCATAGTAGACTATATAGTGTTTTAGAATAGCATTCAGAGAATAGCACGCTCTATGGTATATCGCAGAAGATGTAGCAATGCATAATATAGTATGTTCTAAGTACAGTTTACAGTACAGTTTTCGGAGTTTGTAGTCGGTATAGTCTACAGTGCAGATTAAAATCATGTAGTCTATAGTATAGTCCTTCATATGGCATAGTACAGTCCTGCTAAACTGCAGGTTCGTGTGTTTCTGTGTCGTGCACAGGGCGTCCTTCTACGTTGGTGCGTCGTGGTCCGTTTCGAAATTCCGTGTCTGTTTCGAACCACCGCGTAGCCCAACCCATTAACCCATTGTCCCAATCATTCTGGCCAAGTGGAAGCGTGAGGCCCAAACCCATGAAGCCAATGGGCTGACTTCCACCGAACCATAGTCCATGGCCTACACTTCTGCAAGCTATCCTTGTACAATTTCCAGACGCCTGCTTGGAAAAGTTGATGAGCTGGAAACGATGAGCTTCAAGGTCTCGCTCGACCTGCCGGCAGTATAGTGTCCGAAAGAAAGAGGGGCTGGGCTATAAAGATGACGCATTTCATCCCAAGGACGAGCGCTCAGCACGATTGGTATGAGTGCCAGGCAAATACTTTACGCAAAGCACTTCTCGGTAGGTCACCAAGTTTGGGCGACACTAGCTGCTCGAACAGTTGAAACCAGCACTGGCATAATCTGCTGGCTGTGCTCACAGAGTATTGAGTAACAGTCCCCTTGACGGAAAAGTAAGGCGATGCCTTGTCATCTTGTTGCTTATCTCGACATCCAAGAACTGACGATACCGCGACTGTAGTTGGTCCCAAATGGTGACCTCGAAGTGTGGAAGTTCAAATCCGACCCGAACCCCAAAGACAGGACACAACGGCCACACCCCTATCAGCCTGTTGCTTGGAGTTTTCTGCTGCCTGGCACATGCTGGCAGGCGAGAGAGACTTGTGAGAGAGCATGGCGAAGTGCAGTTTATTGCAATAAACAAGAACGTCAACGACGAGAACAATCGAACACTATCAGTATCAAACTAGGCATCTGTCTGAGACCTTCATGAACAGAACTGCTGGCTGAATTACGACCCGAGTGCTACTGACCGCATCGGTCGACCGACAACCGTGGGCTTGCAAGATGCCAGCTAATTCTGCTCAAGCTTCGTTTTGGTTTCAGGAGTGGCGTAAAGATCGGGGTTTAGGCGCTTTAGGGCTTCGGCAGTACCGAAGAGAACAGCTCAGTGCATTCCGTTTAACGGCTACAGCGCAGTATTATTCCGTTTCGACCCTCGGCGATGCAGCAACAAAGAACAGCAACCACTGCAACTGCATGCGATGGCACATGGTCACATTGACCTTCCAGACTCATGACTGCCGCAAGTGAAGCCCAAACCCGATTCCAACTTAATGACACGTTGCTGAAAGCGACCCTGCAACTGCGGGTGCACCTCTAGGGCATTGCTCTTCTGGATACATGTGTTCACCACCTGCATCATTAGAGCCAGGTTTGTTCCCGGGTTTGGTGCTGGGATGGTGCTGTCTTCGTGGAGACAGGGGGGACTGCGGTGTGAGCTGCCCGAAAAGTCTTACACAAGTACTACTGCTTCAGTCTACTGCTTCTGTTTTGGAAGACTGACACCCAAGGCCTGGGCCCTACATCCTGGATAGGTCAGCTTTCGAGACAAGCTCGAGGCTTTCCAGAAGCCATGAGCATTTGCGTTGCTCCTTGAGCTTGGGGGCTCGGTTATAGGCTTTCACTTGCTGTCGATACCTCAGGGACTCTGGCAAGTACTCGTGATAGCCTGAGCACTCAGATGGCCTTCAGCTGGGTTGTGCCAGCCGATCATAGAGGCTCCTTTATTGCACCCAGCTGGCTAGAAAGCGCGAGTTCAGAGCCTAATTGAGCTGCGATGTGACATGCACTGGCCTGTACACTGTACATTCAACATGTTCTAATTGCCACAACTTCATGGACTTCCAGGACAGAAGGAGAAGTCAAACTCGGTATGCATCCAGCTGTTTCTGGATTTTGAGGGACGGCGGACCGCTTGCTTTGCATTGGGACTCTGAAGCCTCCTTGCTAGTGTTCGGTCCTTCCTCTGCTTATTGAGAAACCGCTTGCGGGAGCGGGCTTCCTTGGTGGATTCCGGTTCTGAAAACAAGAGCCCGATGTTCGGGTGGCCTTTGCCTACAAGAACTCCCAGCAGCATCTGCTCAATGCCATGACGGCACCTTACAGCCACGTGCACCAGCCGTGTGTCCTTGTGCTCCACAGCTGCCTCGAGAACATCCCCGCAGTCACTGCTGCTTCCATGCTCGAGCAGCACTGCGATGATTCGGTCGGACTTGCCAACTGACATGCACGGAAACTGGCGCTGCTGCAAAGCCAACCGTAGCGCTGTGTGGCCTTCGTTCGTGTGGGCATTGAAGTCCACCCGGCCATCGGCGAGGACCATCTGCACCATCTCTGCGCTCATGCCGAGCACGGCCAGATGAAGAGCTGTCTGACCCGCAGCATTCGCTGTGGCAACAGCGGTAAACCGACTGTGATTCAGGAGGAGTGAGCAAATCTCTTTGTGGTGCCACAGAATAGCGGTGTGCAAGGCGGTGACGGACTCTGCACCCTCTAGTTCTGCGGAGCAGCAGTAGCAACCCGGAGGGACACCCACATCGGCCAGCGCATCAGCTGAACGGAATGCTGGGTGATCCAGCAAGGCCTGGCAGACGAAAGCCTGGCCCACGGCGGCTCCGTAATGCAAAGGCGTGCACTGGTCAAAGCAATCCCAGAAGCACAAGCTAAGACCCTCTTCCTCTTCTTCCCGCCTCACGTCCCGCTCGTTCAGCATGAAGGCCGAAGCTTCCACGATGTACTTTGCTTCGATGTACTTCGCTTCGTTCAAGTCCCTCTGCTTCGCTGGCTGGGTCTCGCGAGTCTCGCCCTCTCCTAGCTCTGCCGACAGGAGGAAATCCAGAAGCCTCGGAGGCTCCTTCTTCCGCAAGACCAGCAGCTCCACGTGCCCAGACCGAGCAAAGCTGTAAGAGGCACAGGCGTCGTCAGGGAGCACAGCTCCGTCGCAAATGAGATCTAGAAACCGGGCAGGTGTCCCGGTCGACTGCTCCAGTTCCTCTTTCAGTTCACTGACCCTTGTGCCGGCATCGACAAGTAGCTCTCGAATCCGAGCTCCAGTCATAGCCCAGCGAACGTCTGCGGAGACTCTGTCATAGGGGCGGCTCATGGCACGAAAGACACCTGCAGAACTCTAAGACTCTATGCCCAAACTCCACTGACTCCACTGCATCGAGCACAGAGGAACCTGTCGTCTTCATGCCCTTGCCGACAAGTTTTCACCAGCTCAACCCTCCAATCTGAAACCCGCCACTCGCCCTGCCTCCCAAAAACACGCCTACAACCCAACTCTCGACACCATAGACCTCCTTGGCACAGAAGTCGGCCCTGTACACCGCAAAAGCAACAATTGTGACGGACACTTGGGGGTTCATGCTGGGTCCAGGAAGCCAGCGCTTTGAATAGTCAAGCTCGATGAGAACGTCCCAGCAACATACAGCCTTGAACCATTCCAGTCGCTCGTAGTAACTACCCGCAGTCACAGCACGACCCCCAGCCCAATCAAACGGTTGAATCGCTTCCAGATTCTCAGTTTGGGGGTCGCGTGAGTTAACGCCTCGTCGAGCAGCTGCGTCAGTCTATCGTTGAGCACCTTATGCCTGAGCACTTGGGACAAGTCTCTTTTGGCAACCCCTCATATGGTCCGTTGACGCACGCAAGACTGCCCGACCTGATCATGCATGTGCAAAGATACGTAGCTCCGTTCTAGCGGGCCTACAGCAGATGTTTGCGGCGCTGCAGAAACTCGCGCTTCTTCCAAGGAGTTGATAAAGCAAATATCTACATTTTGTAAGACTTGTTGCATATGAATGGTGATCGAAAAACTTATCGCCAATACTGTTCTCTCACCAGCTTGTCATCAACACAAATAGGGGTCAGAGGAACCACGAAGCCTACTCCTTCAATCCCTGCCGAAACAGAACCCGCAAGCTGAGCCAGGAACTCTGCGCTCTTCTCTTCATAAGCTGTCTGCGCCTGCAGTCATAATCGTAGCGACAGAAGCAGCAGTAGGAGCCGTAGTGCTGGCAGGTCTGCATTTGCTCATCAGCAAGGGCGCCACTCACGAAGCAACGAACGTCAGGGTCGTACTGTGGTGATGATGATGAGGAAGATGATCATGATGGTGATGATGAAGATGATGGAAATAATGACGATGATGACGGCGTTGATCTTGGAACTGACAGCGATTGTAGTAAGTCAGGAAGAGTAGTCAGTCTTAGATGCAGAACACCCAGCCTGACATCCTGGATCTTAAAGGACCCCTCCCGGCCCTCTCGAAGGCCTCTTGGTGAGAGCTCTGCGCTTCTGTCAGCTTGGCCTGGATCTCAGAGCCCGCGCTGGTCGCCTCGACAGCAGCAGCTGGAGGCTAGGAGCTGCAGCTTCTGCCGTCTGCCCCAACTCAGCCAGGAAAGCTCAGTGGGAACTTTTGACGAACGGCAGAGCCTCGCCATGCATCAATCAAGCCAGGTCCAAAGTTCAGCGTTCTACAGACCCTTCCAACAAGTGCTGCCGGTGCAGCAAGCTATCCCAGCACTCATAACCAATAGCTCCATCAAGTCTGGTCCAAATTTCCGGGGCTTAACATGTCTTGGCGACCCTGCCACCGCGTTATGCAGCTGCTGCAGAAGGCTCTGACTGTCCTGCGGCAGCTTTGGGGGTTGGGTCCCTCTGGAAATTCACTTGGCTCTCAGGCTCGCCAGCAAGCATTTTCAGCACATAAGTTGTATCCACATAGAATATGTATATATGTATATACATATATATATATATATAAGTGTATATACAGTGTATATGTATATGTTAAATTATATTATATATATATATATATATGGATGGATACACACATGCACAGGGTCCACCTGTAATGAGTACTAGTGGTAGATCTTTTCGCAGTCACCTCGTCGTCTCTGTCGTCGTGAAGGCAGAAGACTCGTGTTGTGGTTTACGATGGCGTGGATGAAGTCCTTGATGAGCACGTAACGACGATGCAGCTCGGCGCCCTTGTGCCGAGAAAGGCCTGACAACACAGGACGCCATGCGGCCACGACATGGATGCATGTCACAACTGCTGGCTGCGTTTTGCTGCCGCCGCAGACGATTCCAACGGAACCCGGGTACAAAAAAAAGGCTGCCCAGGCAGACTCGAAGCCAGAACAATCCCTGAATAGAGCCTTGTGCAAGCGTCAGGAGATCACCTGCTACAGCTGCAAAAGAGGCGCTGTGATTGCACAAGAATTGCGATGATCCTGTTGATGCAAACGATCCATCACCAGACAACATTACAGGAATCGCATCAGTGACGGCATGAATTGCCCATGGCGTAAATGATTGCTGGAGGATCGCGGTCCCAAGTCCTGAGAACCAATGCGGAAGCCTGACAACGGTGAACTCCTCATTAGCCTTCATTTACGTCCAACCTTTATCGCCTTAAAGCCCTGCTAAGATGCAATTACCGGCTAATCGAAAATCCTCGCGGAAAAGCCACCCCAAAGATGATTCGTGTTAGGATCGGGAGCTTGGGCTATGAGCTTTCAGCATCCCTGCTGCCTTCCCAACTCTAACAACGGCTTTCAGCATAAGGGCACCAGGTCACTGGGACTAGAAAGTCATCCTGAAGATAGCGAAGCAGCACGGAGTACGGAGGCCTGAATAGTTCTGCTGCAGTTCAGGGCCCTGTAAAAAGAATAGAATCTCACATAACAACGTGACGTAGGGCTGTCCTACTATGTGTTCACTTCTCAGGTTCTGGTTATCCCGTGGAATGGCTGCCCCCGGCTTCAAGTAAAGCTGGTTTCAGGTCTGGTCAAAGAGTCTACCTGTAATTTCTCGCGAAGCGCGGGCTGAGCAGACAGTTTACACCCAAACTCATGAACTCGAAACCATCTATAGAGCCAAAGCTTCGATCTCTGACGACCTCGCTCAACCTGCACAAGCACGGCAACCCAAGCACTACCCTGCGTGAGCCAACATTCTAGGGCCTTTGTGAATGTTGAAGGTGACACGACACACATCACGAAAATCACAGCAGTAGCAAGGGTCATCATGATCATGTCATAAATAATAGAGAAATGATCGATAGCTATTCGCAAGAATGAAGAAGCTCAAGCTCGCCACCAGTACCCAACTTCCGCTTCCACAATCGAATTCCCAGGATAAGTGGCTGCGGACTTTCGACAAAAGAAGGCAGACTAAGCCTAGTGACCTAGTGCTCAGAAGACGAGAGACTGCACAGCAAGAATCGTCTGTGGCCCTGGCTGACATCTCCCAGGCTTCCGGCTGGAGGCAGGGGAAGCCCCGAGTTCACTGCCTGAAGGGCCCGAGAGACGTTTTGCCTGATTCCATCTTTCTGGTGGCCTGCATGTATGCGATGCCCACTGAGCCATCATGGGATCAGATTCAAGACAACCCTTGGGCTTCCAAAGTCGGATGCATAAGGTTCCAGAGCTGGATCAAAAGCTAGCCGTGCACAGTGTTCTAGGCACCTCCACCAGGAGCACGAACCGCGGACAAAACGTGACACCATTGTTCCACTCATAGGCCCTGCAAGAACCTCGGGAAACTGTTTGAAATGCACACCCGCCGTCAGACCGGCATCTGCAGTCTGAAACGCTGAAACCATGAAGAGGTCCAGAAGTCGGTCCGAACGCGGCCTCCCCGTACCACGTGCTGTTGGCCACCGGAAGGCGCGGGGCCTGGGCAGGGCCCGTTGGCCCAGCATCGCCCAGGTCCTGCGAGGGTTTCAAAGGATCTGAAGGCAGTACTTCTGTGGTTTACGAGATCAACCTTCCATTGCTGCATCCCGCGAAGATTTTGATAGTGCAGGAACCATGCAGGCCTTGCATGCGCTTTATGTGGCGAGGACATCGAGGCAATCTCTTCAGAAGCGACATTCGATATGACAAGAGCTTATGTGCCGTCATTGGAGTGATGGCCTGAACGCCTGTCGTCTAGGCAAAGGAAACGCATGAGTGCGGACCTGTAGTGGATGAGACCTCTAAATGCGGCTTCTGGACGCTTTCAGAATAGCATGTGCCACACGCACGCACACATGTAAATACAGGCACTCTTGCCCTTCACAGTGTTTGCCGGAATCGCGCTACAAGGAATCGAAAGGCCTGGCTGCCCCGCAGCGGACGGGGCGACATGCCTGTGGAGAACTATAACGTTTGTGTGCGGAGCGCCCTCTTCTCGGACCAGGGTGGTGACGATGATGCCGGCGACACTGACAGAGGTGACGATGGTGACGGCACGTGGTCATCGGTTCAGGCTGACGCGACACCAGTTTGTGAGACGATGATGGTGATGATGATGAACATGATGATGTTGGTGATGGTGATGACGACGATTGTGATGAAGATGATGATGGTGATGTGAAGGTGATGATGGTGGTGATGATGATGATGGTGATGTTGATGACGAAGATGGTGATGACGATGATGGTGATGATGATGTTGCTATATGTTGATGGCGATGATGTTGACAATGATGCTGCTGAAGCTGCTGCTGATGATGATGATGATGACAACCATGATGCTGGTGATTAGGATGGTGATGATGATGATGATGATGGTAATGGTGATGTTGGTGATAATGATGATGATGACGATGATGATGATGATGATGATGATGACAGTGAAGACGATGATGTCGATAGTGAGGGTGATGGTGCTTATGGTAGTGATGATGATGATGATGATGACGATGATGGTGATAAGGATGATGGCGATGACGATGATGATGATGATGAGGACGGTGATGATGCTGATGGTGGTGGTGATGATGGCGATGATGATGACATACTCGATGTCGATTGTGATGATACGAGTAGGGCGCAGTTTATTATTCGCGATCAACATCGCCTGAAACATCCTGCTTGCCAAGGGGGTGTGGGCCTTGCGCAGTGTATGGTCCTTAAATGAGTTGGCTGGAGCTACAAGCCTTCGTCTCTGCGTCAGTCCAAAGCCGACCAAATGGTAGTCTGTGCATGTTGACATTTGGAAGTATCGCCTACAGACGTGATCTCGTTTGAAAGCCTGTGCCTGCGAGCGCTTTGCCAACCCGTGCACCCCAATGATCACCCTAATGCAACCACTGTCATCCAGACCCTGA